CCTTGAATATCTATAAGAGGGAGGAAGGCTCCCTCCTATTTCCATTAGAATTCTCACTTCTACAGACTGTCTATGACATCTTTTCTTTAAAATGTTGGTCTCCATAGCATTTTCAGTCTTGTCTATTCACTTTTGGTGTGGCACACTTCTTCAAATTGGAATACCACTTTTTCACAGCTTCCACAATGTTTGACTCACTGTGACCTGCAAACAAGATGGAAAGACCTCTTCAAATATTTTTCAAATCATTGATGGTCTTTCTTCATAGAGAAGAGACTTGATTAGGACAAGAAGGAGCTCCCTCACCAAATATGATGATATTGCCAGTTGCATGAATGACAAAGGAGGTTTGAAGCTCTTCATCTCGCACATTGAGGCCCACACTGAGTTCAGGTTCATAGCTGCAGAAGAAAAAAGAATGAGATTCTTCACATTTTCAAGATGAAAAGACGAAAAATAGAGTTCCTGCTGATTACCAGGAGAGTTCATTGAATGATTATTAGCTCATTTACATTTCCTAATCAAACTGATGGACAATATATATCATAATAATTCCAGTAGTAAAAGGATAGGAAGTAAGAGTTTACCTGGCATTATGAGGGTAAGATTTGACCACTACATCATTCTTGCAAGTAAAAGGAAGCTGAGATGTAGCCATGATATTTGTTATCTTGAAATCCTCCAGCTTGACACAATAGCCCAACTTCTTCACCTTGCTGAGGACTTTCAGGAAAGCTTCTTTGCACTCTTCTTCACTGTGACAATCACAAGGACATGGTCATGAGGAAAGCTATCATGGGTCTGTTTCTCATTGATTTCATGATACTTAGGATTAATTGATGGATGGGGAGCTAAATTAACCCTTCATTGACTTCTTGAGGCTTTGCTACCTGAGCTAAACTAATACTACTATTATTTTATATAGTGAAGAGGACATTTTAGGTTGTAAACTCTAGCTTTGAACTTTTATCTAGCCATCTTGTAAACTCATTCTTCATGCATCCTAATCACCAGTGCCTACTGTGCATGTGCTTTCCAGTTTCCACTTCATTTATATTTCAGAAGCATATCAAGTTTCCATCATTGAAAGACTTTCAAAACTATGAGATGTTAACCATGAATGTTCTCTTTTCTTTTAACTTGGAAGGATGACAGAGTCAATGCCTCACATTCTTTTCCACAAACTGCCTTCCATCCTTGGTAAATATGGAACGATATGGCCTGCTTTTGTTCGAGGAATTTCTAGAATTTTTTCTCTTGTGGGAGGGATGTCCAAGTTAGACTTAAAAGTGCTTGTGCCTTTGCTAAATGGCAAAAATCCAAGATAGACAGATTGTGATGTGTTTTCATGTCTGCCCTCTAGTCTCATCATTTTGTACAATAATTAAGAAGTAAAATTAAAAACTGAAGTTACGCAGCTCAGTGATCGCCATGACAAACCTTAGAATTAAAAGGGATTGATGTAACTTTGCACCCACCTGCTTCCACCAACAACCACCATCTTCCCATTTTGGTAGAGGGTAATATGCACTTGTGGGTTACGTAGCCGAATGCTCAGTATCCCCCTCTTGAAAATGGTGTTCGGAATGGTCAGGGCAAGATGACGAAGATCCACCCTGCAGGGTGTGAGAGTGACTGCAGCACAAACATTCTTTACATACACCTGGATGTTAACCAAGTGGGTAGGGGGAAGTATCAGTTCAGTTGCTGCTTCTTGCTGCTCTTCTGCATTATTTAACTTTTTTTTCTCTCCCATTCTCGTCCCTTTCATGTTTTGGCATGGTGCATGTTTGCCAGCATAATTGGGGCTCCTTGCTTTGCTGGAGTGTGCTTTTGCTTTTTGAACTGTATTCCCCTTGGTTTTTCCGGCAAAATTCGGTTCCAAGTTTTCATTATTTTCTTGTACTCTTCGTTTGGCTGATACCTCTCCATCCTTTTCTGTTTTTCTTTTGGGAATATTCATGAGTTTGCTTGTTGATTCCATCATCTTTTTACCTAAATCAGATTCATTGTCCCAAATGGACAGGACACCACCATTCTTGACTGGGCATTGAGCACTTCCAAAGTGAAGGTATTCAGATCCTTTTACCTTTCCACTTTCATTTCCTGTTTTAAACACTTGTGACCTGCTGATGCAGACATGGAAGGGTCTCTCTTGTAGAACTTTGGTTTCCATGTAATAGTCTTCCTGTCTGAAGTATCTCAAAGGTGCTGTGTAAAAATTTTATGATTTTGTCTGTCCAGACCTGCCACATGTAGGAATTCAAGAAAAAAAACCCCACAAATTAACCAAGTACCAGTATAGGAAGTTTTAAAAATTTCATACAGCTGGACTGGCTGTAGCTCAGAATTAGTTATTTTTCTTCACTTTCGCCATATAGAGGCCATTTATAATAGGAGAAACTGCCATGGATATTGTGATCACTTGTGGTCATAGATTGCCGCTCTGTAGATGCAGTGTGAAACTAGAAGAGACATGTTAAATGAAAAAAACTATTGCATAACCGGCTCATTTATGTGTGCACATAATCCAGTTCTAAAAAAAATTGCTGTGTGATAAAGCATGTCCATTGGATTTGGACTTCGATTGAAAACATGATCCCATGATAAAACTTTTAATGTAATTGGCATATTGTTTAATTTCATTTCATCTTTAGGATAAAGTAATGTGAAACCCAAAAATATTGCAATATTTACTTTTTTCTAGAGCTTAATTGTGCACGGAGTAGCAGAATTGACAACTACTTATAGTTCTGTTTTTTTCCTCTATCCAAATCTACCTCTAGGTCTCCATATAAGAGCAAAAAGGAACGAATAGGTAAATTTATATATTTATGGTAAATCAAGTTAAGGCTGATATAAGAATTAAGATTGTGTAGTCCCAGTTGCATTACTGTCACTCAGGGAATGATAATAACATTTGCCCTTATCGCCAGACCTCTGTCTCTCGTGCCTTCCGAAGGTCTGTGCTCCTGCATTTTCCTGTTTGTTCGTAGGAATGACGAGAATGGTTTCGAGATAAAATTCCTTGCTAGTAGGTTAGGAAAGCGATTAGAGATCTAGGCCAGCTCGGGCACGATATGGGCTTCGGACTTTATGTTCTCCGCCATACTAGGCCCATATCGCCTATCGGCATTTGATCGCGGAGTCCCGTTTGGGAATAATGCTGAAAGAGAGCGCGCATGTAGGTCGCATTCGGGAACAGGTCAGCAAGACTGGCCAGTACTCAGTGAGCCGAGCCGGTTGCCGGCAGTCAATAGAGAAGTGCACGCAAGGATGCGTATGCCGCACACCCCAGTGCGAGCTGCAGTCCCCCTTCAAGATGTAAATGCTGCAAGGAAAGAGCTTGTTCTGTCTCCGGATCTCTCCGCGAGTGCACCCAATTTTAAGTCGGTTTTGGGGTTGTTTGTAGAAGAGTTCCGCCTTCGGGGCTATATTTTAGGGGAGACTGCCGCCCTCCAGGCAGCTTTTAGAAGTCCACTAGCTCACCCTGAGGTTTTTTTTTTCTTTGCCCTGAGAAAATTCGTACGGAAGTCGTCAGTCGTGCCCCCCCCCCCTCTCTGTTTTTACCTATACTAATAATGAAACATGGTCAACGTAATAGCAGTGATCCCTCCTCTACGTGATCGTAGGTGACAGTTACATAACCGGAGAATTTCCGCTCCGCACCCCCACCTCCGGCCTTGGCAGCCGCCTTTCTGTTATCCTGTCCCCCTTGGCTCGTGAGCCAAAATACGCCAAGGAGTCCCGGACATGTCTCATCAAGTGATGATGGGAAATGTCTTCGGATGCCCCCTAGGAGCCACTCTATTTTCTCGGTGGACCTTGGCATGCCCTAGCCTTGGGTATGGAGGGGCAGTTTAATTACGCTTGGAGTCTTATGGATGAAGACGGTATGTGTGGTCCTAGCGGGATGCTCGTGCTTTTTGCCAGCATCCTCACAATGAAGATGGATTCATTGCACTGCGGACCCGTGCATGAAGCATAAAATGTGTGCATATATATGCCACTCTCCCCGTTAGATGAGCAGCTGTTTGAGTGCACGAGGGGAAAATGGCTGGCTGAGAAACCACTCCATATCGGTACTTCATACTCAATCGAATTGATATCAAAGCAGAGCGGAAACAGAGACTTCCGCCGAGCATTAGGGAGGGAGTAGAGGCGGAACCGGGCTGTTTAAGGTCAGTTTTGCGACTTTCTTCACTTGCGTGTTTCAAAACTTGAGCGTTAACGAACGAATTGCTCAGTTTAAAAGTGTCTCGAATTATGCTTAATTATTTAGAATATTTCCGGTGGCTTTTACCGCCTTAGCACTACCGTCAATATTGACTGGCTGTGTGCCCGCAGATGCCCGAGCAGCTCTCTACTTCTTGCAAGGGACCTACAAAGGAATGAGTGAGCGAGCAGCACGCTCACGCAACAGGGCGAAATTCGTACCGCCCAATCCTCATTCATAGCGGCATTGCGTGTGTCATACGGCACACAATGCTACGTCGATGCTTTGTTTGCGGTTTAGGCTGGCCTGTCATGGGCGATTTAGACGAAGTCAATGTACGGATATGTCACGTTTTTCATAAATTGAGAATGAACGCAATGTTTTAGTGATTTTTGCATCCTAGAAGTACTAGAAAGGTGTTCAATGGTCGCATAGGGAATAATTCTTTGGAATTATTTAAGCTGGCGGACCTTTCTTGCCTATCCAGACGAGCCGCCGCGGGCATGTTGATGCCGTAATTGTCTTGATTGTCATATCACAGTAGTATTTAGGTTAGAAAATTAGGGCATAAATTGCCCCCGTGTGATATGAAGTGGAAGGTAAGGAGGGGGTTGAGTATACCAAAGTCATCAATATTTTTAAATGACCATGCTGCAGTTGCTTTCACAACTTCAGGCCTAAGAGGCTAATGCTGCCATATGTGTATTAAATGCTCAACTTCCAGAAGTTAGACCTGTTCATTGTTTTGGAGTCCCAATATCGACCTAGTTGACATTTGAAGTGCTTTTGACTTCCTTTTAGGACCCGAGGACGATGTTCCTGGGTGAATTTCCCTTTCCATGGGGTGCATTCTCATGGTTTCATAACTAGGAAGGCATGATGAAAAAGGCATATCATGCAAGGAGGCACATTTTTTTTACCGTGCAAAGTACTTCTTAATTATGTGTGATATCAAGGCTCACCTCTACAGAACGTTTTTCTGACATTGTTAGGTTTGTTATATGTTGAAAGCATCCTGCCACTTGGTGTAACCTATTGTTGCCTTTGTGTACAATGCCCACACTTGTCAAAACAATGGAGAATCCTGATATTCCTGAGATCAGGGTTAAAACAGCTTACAATGGGTGAGTACACTGTTAATTATTTGATACTAGTGGATTTTAAGTTTGGTTATGTTGTATTGGTTGAGCTGAATTGGTTCCCTTCTTCTAGAGAGATCATGATCACATACATTGTTCCCAATGTCACCTTGGAGGATTTCCTTGCCGAAATGAGGGAGATGTGTCATTTTCAGCCAGAACAAAGGTTCACGATGAAATGGGTGGATGAAGAGGGTGAGGAGAAAGTCTTTAAACATGTGTTTCATCTCCATAATGAGAAATTAATCTATCTATAATCATGGGTTGTTTCAGGTGATCCCTGCACAATATCTTCTCAAGAAGAACTTGATGAGGCCCTCAGGTTGTATGAACTCAACAAGGATTCTGAACTCACCATTCATGGTCAGTTAATGGCTGTGAATTTTTCCCATGAAAAATATTCTCATGCATGCTTTTCTCTCTTCTTTTTGCATAATATTAATTATCTTTCCAAATATGCAAATAAATTTCTAGTTTATGCATTTTTTGTCATGATGTCAGCTGAAATTTGTTAATTACTCTTGTTGCCAATTTGTACATTGTGTAGACAGTATCTGGGTGGAGCCCCTATTTCAGAAAAGTGCCTCATTAATAAATATTTTTGCTTGAAATACAATTGAAATAAGTTTAAATGTTGTTTAAATGTTTAAAGGTTGTATTCTATTGTTGTGTGCTGTGTGAGCTGTGTTGATTGATTGGAACTGGTTACACAACTTCAACTGTGAAGTAGTTGATAATCTCATTCCTCAAGAATGAATATGATAATGTGCTCATGCATTGTTGAAAGTTCCTTGTTTCCACATCTGACAATGGCCCACTGTGAGTATTGGGCAATGATATTTCTGCTTTTTGCATGCAGGATTCTCTTTCACTTCTTGGGCTTAACCAAAGAACTTCCATCTCTTTTATTCCAGTTTTTCCCAATGTCCCTCCAATCCCAGGAATGCCCTGCCATGGAGAAGATAGTGAGTGATTTGAGTATTGTTCTTCCAGATGTATGGTAGGCTATTTAGGCTGACACTCAAAGGAACAATGACACTAATGACACTGTTCATGCAGATGGTGAAAAATACCCTTTTTTTAATTTGTGGCTCTATAAGCAAGCCCTCAAGTTAATGAGGTTGGGGTAGTAAAAAAATTGGTGTCCTTGATATTCCACATTAGCACTCCTCTCAGAATCCTCAGTTTCTTTCATTTTTTCATGATGTGGAGGCCCTGAGAGGCTCTGCTTTAGATGAAAGTGCTTCAGATCCTAGTCAACTAGCATTTGCAGTTTGTTTGATTAACTTGGGGGCCCTGGGAGACACCTCCAGAAAGCTTATCAGGAGATAATATTGAGATAATATTTGTGAATTCCCCTTTCACATTGGGATAATATTTTAAGACCTCCCCCTTCTCCCCTCACCATAAACAGGAAGATAGATGGTGGTAGCAAAATCACTGGTGTCAGCCTAAAGAGTGGCTCAACTATGCATCAGCAGTCATAGGCAGTGGTTCGTAGGGGTTCAGGGAGCTAGAACCCCCCCAAAAATTTGGCTGAAGGGGCTCATAGCAAGGACATGAGAATAAGGATTGCTTGCAAGAGTACTGTCTCTCAGGCTGAGTTCATACTCATGCTGGACAGCGTGCTGGATGGTGAAACTGCTTACTATGGTCAAAAATTCAATGTCCATTGGATTTTTGCATGAAGTATGCAGTTGCAGCATCCAGCATGCTGTACAGCACAAGTGTGTACTAAGCCTGAGCCCCCTCCAATTTATCAACAAATTGCTGCCTATGTCAACAGTCAACACCAATTTACCATTGTACCTTCATTACCTTCTTATTCTTTACAGAGAGCATATACCGTAGAGGAGCTCGACGCTGGCGGAAGCTGTATCGTGTCAATGGACACATCTTTCAGGCAAAGCGCTTCAACAGGGTGAGATATTTAGCAGGCACTGTGGTATTTGTCCATCACATTGAAAAATTTTGCTGATACTTACTGGACCATTTCTTTGCAGAGGGCCTTTTGTGCCTACTGCCATGATCGGATCTGGGGCCTTGGGAGACAGGGTTTCAAATGCCTTCAGTGCAAATTACTCATCCACAAGAAGTGCCACAAGCTTCTGAAGGGAACTTGTAACAGTTACGACAATGACTCTGTCCGATTTGGTCAACCGGGTTTCAATCAGTCCTGGCAGAGTGGTGATTCATCTGTCTCTACTGCCAATGGAGATGCTTCTGGTGAGCAGAAAAAAGGAATACAATTTTGTATCAGAATGTTTCTTACAAAGGAAAATTATTTAACCAAAGTAAAAAACGCTTTCATGAATGATGTGCTCGATGCTTTTCTTCAGGCCTAAGCTCAAAGCGTGGCTCCATGATGGAACCAACTGGCAAAGGTCCAGCTTCCACCACGCCATCTGCAGAATCCCAGAAGGTTGAAGAAGGTCTGCATGCATTTAGAGCTGTTCATTATGTTGAAATAGATTTGTGGACATCTGACTGCACAATTTTGTATCTGGGTGCTGATGGTCTTACACTATGAATGAATATTGCCTTCTCTCTTTCAATTTGGCAGAGGGAGCTGAATCATCTGGGCAGTACCGTCTCGATGACTTTGACCTGGTGCGTGTCATTGGACGTGGGAGCTACGCCAAGGTTCTGATGGTGGAGCTGAAGAAGACCAAACGCATTTATGCCATGAAAGTAATCAAAAAGGAACTTGTGACAGACGATGAGGTCAGGATCTTTGTTTTTATATTTTTTCAGTATTTAATTTCATATAATTTAAAATACACCTTTGACTAGCAGTGGTGTCTTACATGCATAAGTGCATTCAAATCCCCAGCAACTAAAGAGTTTTGCTTCTGGTGCTTATGGCTTGTGGGGCAGGGACTTGATTGTATCTCTCACAGGCTGTCATTGTTTCCATTACCCAATTGATATCATTAGTTCTATTTATGCATTTAGTGCAATGCATAACTTTGTCTCATTTAAGCTGTTCTTGTGAATGATAGTTGCGTTGTGGCTTTTGCAGGACATTGATTGGGTGCAGACAGAGAAGCATGTGTTTGAGACAGCTTCCAACCACCCATTCCTGGTTGGCCTACATTCCTGCTTCCAGACTCCGTCCCGACTCTTCTTTGTGATCGAGTTTGTTCGTGGCGGGGACCTGATGTTTCACATGCAGCGGCAGAGACGTCTACCAGAAGAGCATGCTCGCTTCTATGCTGCTGAGATCTGCCTTGCTCTCAACTTCCTCCATGACAAAGGTTCTCCCTTGTGCTCTCTCTCTCTCTCCTATCCATTGCCTCTGCATGCAGTTTCACTTAGTGCTGTACATTTCACTGAAACTTTATAGATATAAGCTAACTAAATTATTGAAATATATTTTAACCACTCTTTGATCTTATTCAGCTACAACTAGGCAACTATAACTTAATATAATATATTCCAAGATAGCTCTTTTCAAATACTCATATGCAGACTCTATGCAATTATTAGACAGATGTTTGATTGCATGCAAACACAAGAGTCTGCCCTCATAGCCAGCACTGTTCCTAGGTGGATGCATTTAATTTGAGAGGGATGGTCCTTTGTTACTAGTTTGTAAAGTTAGCCATATAAAATCTGTTTATTCAACCATCTGTACTCAAGTAAATTAATAAAATTAATGACATTAAATGTAAAAAATTAAACATTTAGAGAAGAAACTGCTACTAATGCACTCAGTATTGCAGTACTGTTCTGTTCTTGGAAATAAGGAGCTTTGCACAATGATCACTACTTCCTGTATGCCCCTTGTATGTTTTTTTTTAGTTTGACAGTATCATTAAAACTGTGAAACAGCATCATGTGATGTTATCAATATTGAAACACTGAATAGATTAAACTTTTTTTACATTTTTATTTGAGAATAACTTATGAATTATAAGTTATTGTCAAATAAATTTTTAAATCCTATTTGCTTGTAGTATATCCTCAGCTGTGATTTCATGTTGTGTTCCTCCAGATCCATTACATTGCTCTGCAGCAGCATATAGGCAAGGAGTGACTGCATATGCCTGCCATCAATGCCCTAAATTTATGCTGTATTTTCTGAAAAAAAAAATTTCCTTCTTCAGAGATTGGTGCAGGCTTCCTGCAAATGCAAATTATTTGTTTAAGTTAAATTTTGTCTATTTATTATGTATGGGTAAAAAATAGATGTTGATTGAAAATTATTGTTCTTCTGAATTCATCACTCTCTCTCTTTTCTTGAAGTTCATCTCTTAGAAGATTGGATCAGTTTCAGTATCATACATTTGCTGCTACTCATTAATGCATTATTCTGTCAGGTAGGAAATTATCTAGGATGATAATTACAATGAGTTGAAGCAGGACATCCTGTGACCTTCCAATCACCATAGGTGATGAATCACTTATTGCATTTAGCAGAGTTTATGTGAGTGGTCTGCTCTTGAAATATGTGTGGATTATTTGCAAGTTACAGGATTTTTGGAGGGTGCTACTCCCATAGTCCATAAAAATTTTGGGACATTAATTGTCCCAAAAATATCCATGTAACTCAGCATCTTGCTGCATGGAGCTGGATTCCATGAAAAGAATGCACCTCCATTTGAAGAGATCCTGACAATATGAAGTCCCTCCAAGAACATTGAAATAAGCTAAAGCTGCCACTGTAACAAACACTATGCATTCATCAAAATTTGTTAACTATGATCAACCATTTGTGACTTGATCGCTTTCTTTGGCAACCCCTCATATGTGTTCATTCTGACAATGTGTTCTGTATAACATAATTTTGCCCTTCTGGGTAGAATCATGAAGCCTTAAATGGTCATCTTTAATTTAGGACATATCACAAAGCCACATTACCCACACTAAGTAGCCTGATATGTTACATCTTGAAATTATCATTTCAACTCGTGCTTCATGGGCTTTAACATCTTTGTCCATTTCTAATATTTCTGTGGTAGCTTAGCCATATTATTCTCTGAGACTGTTGCAGTTTGTATTTCATAAATTCATTTACCTGAATTTCAAAATTTGCTTATAGGGATCATCTATCGAGACTTGAAACTTGACAACGTGCTTCTGGATCATGAGGGGCACATCAAGCTGACTGATTATGGGATGTGTAAGGAGGGGATTCGGCCTGGGGACACGACATCCACGTTCTGTGGGACACCTAACTACATAGCTCCGGAGATCCTCCGTGGAGAAGATTATGGATTTAGGTAAGATCCTTGGTGAATTGGCTGAAGCGATTTCCATGTTTTCCTGGTTCCATGATAAACTCATTGGCAATTCTGTTTGATTTTTGTACAGTGTTGACTGGTGGGCGCTGGGTGTCCTCATGTATGAAATGCTGGCAGGAAGGAGTCCATTTGACATCATGGGAGCTGCAGAAAATCCAGATCAAAACACTGAGGATTACCTCTTCCAGGGTATACTGTCTCACTGGAATTTTAGAATTTCTTGCATTTAGGGAATCCTCAGTAACATAACCATTTATTGTGGACCACCCAAAGGATCAGAAATTAATATTGTGTACTAATGGGATGGCTTGCAAAAGGAAAATGTAGAGATTAGGATTAGAAAAATGGAGATTAGGTTTTTTTTTTTGAGATGGAACCTTTTTGAATTTTAGTGAAATAAAAAGTTTTTGCTGAAGCAAATTCATAATTAGAATTCTATTTATCAGTAAGAAGCATGAAACTATTTCAAAATGAAAAGGAAGTGTTCTGAGTAAACTTGAGAGAGGAGGAGGGAATGAGAGGATGCATCACATACCAATCCTCAAATCTGCTCAATGAAATCCTTTGTCTACATAATTGCTCTGCCTCTGCAATAGTGACATCCCAGAGTATTTCATTCCCAACCTAAACTGAATCCATGATCTTAAAGTGGAATGAATGTTGACCTGATGGGGTTTGCTTGAATGCAGAAGGTTTTTAAAAATATATCCCCTCAATTGTTTATGTATGGATAAACTTTTCCAATTCAGACCCTCACATGGCTACCAATAAACTTAAAAAGTAAAAAAGTAGTCAACAGAAGTTTGGACATCGCAGAAACTTTCCCCTGTACAACATAAAATATCAATTGGAAAAAATATAAAAAATCACAATGACTGTCGTGATGCCATGCAGTGATCCTGGAGAAGCCAATCAGGATCCCTCGCAGTCTGAGCGTGAAGGCCGGGAGCATCCTCAAGGGTTTCCTGAATAAGAATCCAGCTGAGCGACTCGGTTGTGGCACCTCTGGCTTCGTGGATATCGTCACTCACCCCTTCTTCAAGTCCATTGACTGGGATTTGGTCAGTCCACTTTTCCTCACTGCTCCCCCTGTGCATGGTTGAATGTTATTCTCATCCAGGAATGCAGAGTTGCTGACAGAGATGTACCTGATGACCAAACATTTTTATTGTCAACTTTTTGCTGTGTCAATGCTTCCCTGTTTTACTTGCCATGTAAGGTGCTGCAGAGATTTGCAGTGAGGTGCTACATTCTCTATCAGATTCATTATCTAGGCACTCAGATCCTCATTAATTTCCTTTTTTCTATTCTAATTTAGAAAATAGAATACAATAATATTGCATTCTTTAGCAATAGAATTTGCTAGCACTTCAGGAAGAGGCCCATGTGTGTGAAGTGATTCCGTGTTCCTTAAGCTTGGAATGACCCAAGTGCTCGCGGTCTCCGATTTGCTTTGGGTTACCTTACTGAGTTGATTACTAAGCAGTTTATTATTACTAAGCAGACGAGATCTGCAGCCTGTCTTTTCCTCAGTCTCTGTAGGCGTCTCAGAAGTCATAGTCGTCCTCTTGGGTGAAATGTTGTTACAGAATTACAAAAGGAAGAGAAATTTTTTTTTTTTAAGGAAATAGGAAGAAGCAAAAAATAAAGGGAAGAGAATTCCTGGTCGGTTATCTTTCCCCGACCAATGATTGCACGATTTCTGATGTATGGGGATGATGGCGTTTTGCTTGTGAATGATAGTTGGAACGGCGCGGCTTGACGCCGCCGTATCGGCCAGAGACGGATGAGGACGACAGTAGGGAGTGGTCATGGGCGTGCTTTGACCCCATGTTCACCAGTGAGCCCGTGGTCCTCACGCCGGACGATCCGTAAGTCCCTCCCGAGCCCCGTCGAAGGAGGGGCTAGCCGGGGCGTGTGCCCGGGGTGCGGTGTCGTTTGGCTTCGTGCAGGAATACCCGATCTAAAATTGAATTTTTTTTCGTGGGTGATGATTTAAAGTTTTGGAACGATGGAGGTGTTATTTAAATTCTTCAAGGACGAATATTGTGCTCGATGGAGCTGTCGGAAAGCTTTGGAAGTTTCTCGGCGTGAAACTTTTTTTTTTCTTCATTATTATGATTTTTTTTTTAATGAAGGGCTATATCCAGAAGTCAGAAGGTGTCTAGAACTAAAGTCCCTTTGAGATGTACTTGGAATGCCGTGAAGAAAAAATATGGTGGCCTCGCACATTGAAATCCCATTGAGATCCAATTCTCACCTTGTCAGAACTGTCATGGAAGGGGTTGGGTTTTTTCCCCATGATAAATGACTTGGCTCATCAGGAGGTCATTAAACTTGGTCTCCCGGGACTTGACGTTCCCTTCATCTTATCTCCACGCCTATTTCCACCTCGTGAACTGCAGCTTGATGACTTCGCTGACCCATTTCACGGAGTGTCGTGGCCCTTGCTGGGTCGTTTGAACGGGTTCCGGAGAGTCGAGCTCGATTGCGAAGACTTAGCAGTTCTGAGTTTCGGCAATAGGTGTCGCGAGAGATGTTGCTGTCGTCGACTTATCGCGTGTGAATCGCCACCGGCTGTCTGGGCGGTGGTGGTATTATTCGCTTCGGTAATTGAGTGTTTATGGGGTCGAATGTACCACCTGTATATCGCGTCGTCGAAGGTCGACTCGATGTAAGTTTCGTGGTGCGGACGTGTTGCACGGTCGGCCGTCGGGAATTGGGGGATTGGGTGTGCGAGGCCCCCTTGTTCGTACGTTCGAATTGCGTGTGTTTAACGCGTGTTAGGTGCCAACACGGCCCGAGGCATTCCGAGAATTTCCCAAGTGCTGGATGTGGAAGCGTTCGGGTATTCGCGCATCGAAGTGTGGAAGTCCTTGAACGACACCGCATGGCTGCTGCTTGTGCCGCTGCTGCTTCTTCGCACGCTTACGCCCCCGCTGTCCCAGATACCTTGCCACACCCACGCGCGATGGATGCAGACGGGATCGCAAATGTGGATGGGGGGGGGGGGGGGGGGGGGGGGGTTGGGGACCGGGATGGATGGTTCGCGGTGGAATGTCGGATGGGATCTGAAGAGATCGGAGACGACGCTTGTGAGATCGATGAGGAGGACCGGCTTCCATATGTTACATTTTAGGGTAGTGGATAGGAACGATGAGGACGATGACAAAAGAGCGGGATGGTATGTGGGTTTCGTACGTGAGGGTCGTCCGCCCTCGCGATCGACCGTTACCCGCGAGTGTCATGTACCCGATGCCCTCGTCCCGCGTGTTGACACGGTCTCCGTGCTATGTCCCGTGGGGGAATGCAGTTGGAGGGGAAGCAGGTGACGCCGCCGTATAAGCCCCGGCTGGAGAATCCGAGGGACCTTGCCAATTTCCCGCCCGAGTTCACCGACGAGCCCGTCCAGCTGACCCCGGACGACCAGTGAGTGACCCGAGGCTTTTTTCCGCCGTCGACCTTTGACCTTTTCCCGGGCGGGCCCTGCTCGCGGGCGCTTTTCACGCTTCTCCGCTTCGCCGATCGTAGAGTAGTCGAGCGAGTCGGATTTTTTTTTTTTTCGACTTTCGTCTCGTCCCCTTGCCTTTATTTCTTCTCCAGCAAAAATATGCGTTCCATCCGCTCCTCTCGCCTCGGTTATGACAGGATGCCTAATTATTTAGGGAAGAGGGGCTTGAGCAGGACCAGGCCGACCGTTGACGTCCGACTCGTTTCCTCCCTTCCTCGTGCCATTTTCGTCCTTCCTCGTCCTTCCTCGCGCCGTTTTCTTCCTGCCGCGTGACTCATTTTTCCGCCTTTTTTCCTCCGATGACTTTTTGGGCGGGCACGGCCGCGGAAAGCCGGGGATGATGATGTGTGTGCGCCGCATGCATTTAGATCAGGAAGCATTTCATCATCTGACAGTAATTAGGCCTACCGGGGGAGGTTTAATTACCCTCTACTTACCTTTTTCTCCCTTCCGTGATTTCCCGTCTGGACCTCCTTTGTTCTTTTCCGCCTCTCTCTCTCTCTCTCTCTCTCTCTCTGTGTTCTCTCACAGTGAGTGGGAATGGTCGGACTCGGGGGTGTTCGCTGATTCGTTTCGCCCTCTTTTCTTTTCGACGGGGAGCTTTTTTTTATGCAAGTGAAAGGGAATTAATGATGGTATGGAGAGCGGGGGGGGGGGGGAGGGAATGAGGGGGGATTAATTGCGGAATGCAAGGAGTCCGTTTGCCTGCAACGAGGCGGATGGATTTTTTCTTGTGGGATTTTTTCCTGGTATTTTTAAATTTATAAGGTGGGTTTTTGCGTGCTCTGGGGGTGAGTCCGGGTCAATTTCGTTGTGCAAGTTCTAATTTTTTATTCATCGTCGGGGTTGGTGGAGGGGAGAGGGGGGGGGGGTAAAGAGGGGTACCATGCAGTGAAATGTGTGGCACGAGAGAAACAGGAACAGCTGGTGGCATGCGTGGAATTTTTGTTTGGCGTGCGAGCGGTGTTGGCAGGATTCGCGAGAGCGAGACGAGGCGAAAAAATTTTTTTTTTGCGGAGTCGGAGTGCAACGCGTTTTTGATCGCGTTATTTTTGTCGCACGGAGTTTCGTTATTCGAAGGGAAAAAGAAAATCGGAGGGTTAGGGGGGAGGGAGCGAGAAAGGATAATGACAGAGGGATCCTCGTCATTACGAATAATGATCATATGCTCCGTTCGTTCGTTCGACCGTCGGTCCTTGCGTGTCTGTCCGGCTATCATCATCATCATCATCCAAGGCCATTGTTCTTTCTCTCTCTTTCTCTCTCTCTCTCTCTCTCACTTTTTTTCACACGTAAGCTCTGGGGGATGAGGCGAGAGTCGATATTTCGGCGTGAAGTGGGATTTATTTTCATTATTATTGGAGATTTGTTTACTTTTTTAATATTGATTTTTCAGGAAAGTGATCGAGAAGATCGATCAGTCGGAGTTCGAGGGGTTCGAGTACGTGAATCCTTTGCTCATGTCGCTCGAAGATTGCGTCTAGGTGCGATTCCAAGCCTGGCATTTCGTTTTTTTTATATGTTATATGCAGTTTCGATGAGGTTCTTCCACTGTTTATTCACTCGTTATTCATTCCAGTCGTTTGTACATAAAGTAGATGGTCTTCCACGGAGCGGATTTATCCGGAAAATGCTATTTATCCGGAGGAAATGCTATTTTTTCAGGCATCTATTTTTTTTTTGGTTCGATGGTTCTTGTATTTTTTCTATCCCGAAAACGAAATTATCTCGCCAAATCGAAGAATAAAGGAGTCTGAGAAACGACGTGGATTTCATCCGTGAAGCTTGTGAGACGCACACGCACAAACGCACACACGCCCAATTAGCGAAATTCGGTGGGCCGGACGACGTCTCGGTTCAAGGCCGTCTGTCCCCCGTGACAATCGTCGCGCGAAATCGGCCGGAGGGGTTGGCCCAGTTCGCGAGTACTCGTTTCCGCCCTCTGCGCTCGTCAAGGTCGACACGCGCGGAGTCGGTGTCATGGAGTACTCGAGGGGTACTGAAAGTACTTGCTCGGGGGGATCTGCTTCCGCTCGTCACTCGCACGGGAACCGGTTTTTCTTTTTCTCGTTTTTCCCCTCCGCGATGCGATATCTGGTGGGAAGTGGGCCCGTCGGACTGGTCTGTCCTGTCCGGTTTTTTTTGTTGTATTTTTATATTTTTGCTGCACGTGCAGATGGACGCATGGAGTCTGTTGCCATGGCCTGTCAGTGCGGTACTGTAAGTGCGTAGTATTTAATGGGGACGACGAAGGTCGATGACGAGGGGAAGTTTTTTTTTTTCCGCGGTTTTTCTGCGTTTTATCGGCGCGGCGCCATATTTTCCGCGTCGGTTTCGCGGCAGTCCGCGAGAGTTCGGTCGGCCTTTCGAGTGTTCGCGATGCAACAATTTTCCTCCCCCCAGAAATGCCCGTCCCAAGGATGACCGGTCCACGTGGGAAACGGCGCCACCCGGTGACACAACACGACGCCCACATGTTGCAACAGAACGAAAAACGTGACGAAATTGATGCATCGGTCGGCGTGGATGGAAGCATTTAACTCTGCGACTACCAGAACGGAGACGATCGCATGCTTAACCCTTTCTTTCATCTCTTCGCTTCCAAAGAATCCCTTCGAAATGCACCGCCTGATGACTACGAGACAGACGCCTCTCCGAAAATACACAGAGTTAACGGCACGACCTGCAAAAATCGCTAAATTTTCGTGCGAGGGTCCATTGGGCCCCGAACGGCAGTCGCGGGGTTAAAAATAGTGGGGAGCCAGACGAGCCATCGAAAACGAGGGCTGGTTTCGGCATTCGGTTGGGGCGTTTCGCTTCCCTTTTGCTTCCCCTTTCCGATCCGCTCGACGGTTCGTTCGTGGGTCGCGGAGGACGCAGGCGTCGAGCGGGACGCGAGGTCGAGTTGCGATGATGCTTCGAGGACTCGACTTTCACGTAATGAGACGGAATTCGCGGGGATAAATCGTACCGTCCCCTTAGAGAAAATACTAAAATTTCACGACGCCGGAGTGAGTTATTGACCATTAACATCGCTGGCTTTCTTTATGCGCCGCCACCGCCTCCACCTGCCCCACCGAAAAAAAAATCCACCGTCATCCTCCGTGCGTTTCTCGCTTCGTTTCGGGGATTCCGCGGGTGAAAACCTTTCGAAGGAGACTCGGAGCTCTGAAGACTCGAAGGATCCGTCTGGGGGAGTTCTTCGCCTTCGATCGCGTCGCTGCCCTTTCCATCCGATCCCTCCACCTCCGGACTCCCCTGAAAATTAAATATATATAAATAAATAAAAACATTTTTTAAGAAAAATAAATATATAATTATTTAATTAATTAATTAATTTAAAAATG